TCAAGAAGACATAAATAAAACACTTTCACAGGAAAAAGGGAAACCCCTTCCAAAATGCCTGTTAAAAACATAGGAGTTTCCTGGGCACAACCCCAGCAAACTAACAAGGTGGATGGAGGTTTTCCCACTTGTACAGATTGTGTAAGAAAGCCTCCTGGAAAAAAGGACCGTGAGATTCCAGCTTTCAAAACAGATCAGAGGCAGAACCCGTTTGAGAACAAGCTATTTCCCAGGGTCTACAGTCAAAATACAAGTTTGATCAGCAAAGATTGTATATACCATCATCACAGGGATTCAAAGGTAGAGGTGATCAGAAATTGTAGGGAAAAAAAAAAAGACACCAACCACATTTCTAGGAGATAAATTTGCATCCTCAACTATAGCAGTCAACTATCATTGAGCCTGGTGTCACAATCAAGTTGCATGGGTCAACTAAAAGCATATAATGAAGCCAGGCATCAATGTTGGCCACTTTTTGTCACAAAGTTATTGCAACAATTCACCAAATCAGAGACACCAAAAAATGGTCTAAAATAAAGTACAAAATGGGCACCTGGAAGATGTACAACAGAAGCAGTATCTAAAGCAGGGGCAGTATGGAGGCACAGCTCCCTCTCATAGTCACAGCAGCACTGATCCTTCTCCTTTTCAAAACAAAGGTGAAACTGGAATGAAGAGAAAAGGTCCATCAAAATATTACTGAGACCAACAGACTGGTACATGGCATTGGAAGTTTCTATGGACAAAAGTGGTCACCTTTGTATTTCTATTGAACATAGGAAACTAAGTAAAATTATAAAAAATAAAGTTTTGTCCTTTTTCTTTCCCAAAGCAAGAGAGATTTTTTTTGATTAAATAGTGAATAATATTCTCAATACATCCACCTAGTGGAATCAAAAAAATTCTGCTTTCAGAATAAAGACACAGCTTTTATAACCCCATCCAGGACATAATTCTGTGACTATCTCCCATTCAGCAAAACAAGGACTCAGAAATCCTCTGAAAGAGCAAGAATGAAAGGTGCAGTAAGCCCAAATACAAGGACAATATAGAAGATCAGGAGACAACTTTTGCTCCAGGATTTAAACTTTATCATTTAAATTTACATGGGATTAGTACAGCAGGTATACTTTTCCAGCTATAATCACTAGGAATTATGATTGACCAAGAGGGGAAAGTACTGGAAAAAATATCTTAAATAATAGCCGCACTTCATCTTTGAAGTGCATTGGCACTGAGCTAGCTCTTGCAGCAAACTCACGCGTAACCCTTCTCTGGATGTCATACCTCTTCAGGAGCTATTTAAAGGTGATTTTCTTTGATCTTATCTCTGAGATCAGATTCAGGAATACTTTTTGGGGGTAAGAATTTCTTCTTATCCAACTAATCAGTATTCCCCTTTTCAACACTTTCCTTAAATTTCTCCCTTTTCTTTCCATCCTGGTCCCAAAGATCACAGCAAGCCATAGGCTTGTAATGATTATAACCTTGTGGCTCTCCCCAACACACAGGATGCTTTCCCCTATTGATGAACAGCCACATTCCCTGCCAATGCCACCCCACTACCACTTTTTCCTCTGCCATTTACACACTGACTTCCCAACTGCGCACCAGTTCCCCACAACCCCTGGCTTGGCCCACACACCCGCCTCAGCCCATGGGTGCGCTCCCAGTCACCCCCACAACCACTTCTCCTCACCACACTGAAGCCTTTGTTCTATCAGAAAGTTTGCAGATTAATGCCTAAAGCAAACAGCTAAAGAACAATTTTGATGATCTGCTGAAAATGTTTATATCTTAGCTTTTAGACTACCATTTCACTGTTTAAGCACCATGGTACAGTAATCAAGGCCATTACACTAGTGCTAATTTTCTCATCTACATTGGTCACCCATAAGCAGTGTATGCAGGGACTGGGCTACGCCAAGTTGGTAAATACCTTGCACTGGGTACCAACAGCAAGCAGCACTGTGTTTATCATTTGTTAAAAGTTTGTTGATATTGCTTCATCTGCAGCTGATTAGGTAGGTGACACTGTCTAGACAGAAACACCCTGTCTTCACCAGTTTTGTGAATCAGGCTGAAGGAGGTCCAGGATGTTTTGTGAGGATCTCAAAGATCAGAGATCCATAGCAGACAAGTCATTCTGGGGAGGCTTCCCCAGACAATTTACCTGCTGAATGTGATGCTCCTCAGTGGTTCCCCACACAGGCTGCACTATGAGGTGGTACCTCAAAGATGGTGCCTCCCTCCTTTAACTCAGCGGTCACCCCAGCGCCATCTGCAGCCTCCCGTGCCCCAGGCAGTCCCAGGGGTGGCTGCCCCCAGCCAAGAGCTTTCCTGCTGGCCATTTTTGTGTCCCCAGGCTGGGTCATGCCAGGCTGTGGGTGCAAGGGCTGTCCCCACCAGCAGAGACTCATGGCAATTGGCAGCAGCACCTCACTGCCATGGCCATGAGAGATGGCAGCAAAGAAATGCCACCACAACCCTGCCCACCTGGAGAGGGAGAGGATTGAGAGGCAGTGGGGTTCAGGGCAGAGCTTACCCACAGCTTTGCCTCAAAATGCAGCGCTCCTCATCCTGCAGAGACAAAATGCAGCACCTCTCCCCAGCCAGCAGGAGGGGAGCCACAGCAGTGGTGGAGGCCCAGCCAGTATGGTGTGCCCCAGGCCGCTCACCACCTCCCAGCAAGCCCCAAGGACACACATAGCAGGTTCTTATTAAAAATAATAATAATAATAATAGTGATCCTATAACTCTTATTAACTGCTACACTGGCATTACTACACAGGCCTGAAAGCCATGATTTATGCCCATTTGGTCATTGTACCCTTACCCCAAAGACCAGCTATTAATTCCAAGCTGCAGTAGAAGCTCACAGGCTTCCCTTCATCTTCTCCATCCTCACAGACTTCATCAAAGCCATACCCAAAGGAAGCAGGCTGGGCACCTGTGGGAAAGGGGTGGGAAAGGGAAAGTGGGTTGGGAATGGGCTGTGGAGGGGTCTTACCTGTCTTTCCAGGTATGCTGTCAAAGGACCATAAACGTCTACTAAAACAATGCCAGAGAGCATGACAAATAACTTGGCAGAGGGAGGCACCACTCCACCTGCTCTGTCCCCCCAGAGAGGATTATCTCACCTTCTCACGGGAGATGGGATGCTTGAAAGTGACATAGGTAAGGTCCCCAGGGAGCTGTGGAGGCTCTGGGAGTAGGACAAAGGACTGTACTGCCTATATGTATTTGAAATATGTACGTCAATACATTGTGACACTAGTGCAGAGCAGAACATCTGAAAACTGATGAAGTGGAGAGCTCTCTGTGTAATGTAAAGCACCTGAATGATGTGTGTACACACAAAGATTTGTTCAGCTCTGCTCATATCCAACCCTTTTGGACAGTTGGATTTGATTTGCCATTTTCCTGCCAAAATATTGTTGCTATACCTCAGTACCTGGCCTTTCTTCAAGGAAAATGAATATGACTCTCCTGTCCTCACCTAAACCATTCTGGAATATGAGTTCAGCAGAGGTTAAAGGGACCTTCCTTAATAACAAATATGTTTCTAATAATTTAAAGCCTCAAAAATAAAGACTTGTTCTTTCTCTCAAAATTCTCTCTGCTTCCATAATTCTGTTCATACATAGCTGTTTCCCACCTTTTTCTATCCACGCTTGAAATGAATACTGTTAAAATCAACATATCTGCTAAGAATCCGAGGGTCACACAACATGAAGCAAATTAACTCTGTCTGCACAGCCAGCAGAGGGAAGCAAAGAGTATAATTATTTTTGCTTACATCATTTTAAACAGTATTTTAAAGATTTCTTAACCAAAAGCTGAACTGGTTTCCTAAAAGATAATACTTAAGATAGAAACTTCCACAAAATTTTTACAACAGCAAAGGTGATGTCAACAGCACTATGACCTTTATTATTTCCTTTCTCTCTGATAACTTCAAAAGGCTTTAAGGTTTTTGTTATTTATTTGCAAATTTCTCACCTGACCAAAAAGCTTTTTCCAGCTACTAATTAATTTTACATCAGCAACTTATTTTTTATTTTATTTTTTTTTTTTCCTATAAGAATCTATGTATAATCAAATGAATTTGAACGTAAGCCATCTCTCTGAAACAACCTGGAAGTGGAAAAAAAAAAAAAGTGTGGGAGTTTTCTTTCAGATGCTTGAAAACCTGTTCTACTTAAAAAGATAAGAAAGACACTTTCTCTGTTGAGCATTCACTATCACTCCTCACCACTTATCTCTACCCCAAGGAGAAGAAAAATTGTGAACAGAACTGAAACTTCCAGGTTAAAAAAAAAAAAAAAAAAAAAAAAAAGAGTGATTGTAGAAAAAGTGGCAAGTGTAAAGGAAGAAAGCCAAAAAAGAAAACCCTCAGGTATTATTCTCACACCCTACAAATAAGCAATAACAAAACCAACAAAGCCACAAAAGGCAGTTCCGATTTTTCAAGGCTGTTAGGAATCATGAAACCCCAGAGAATTCAAACAAACTACCTATTTCCTAGGAATTTTTTAAGTTTAGTCCTCGTTTTTCCTTTTTGCCATTTCATATATATGTTGAATTTTAACTTTAACAGATGCTATTTAAGAGTGTCATTTTAAGACATAAATTACCAACTGTAAGAGCCCTCAAGGATCACAAAGCATCAGCTTGTATGGCCATGTTGTTTTACACCTCTTTAGCCAGGACTTGTCATTCTGAAATCCTACAGATGTGCTAACAGTTGCAGAGGTGGGTGAGAAGTCTGAGATGCGCATGTGCTGGAGCTATGCCAAGAAAGCATTAGAGCTAACAAGGCTGAGACAGGACTTCACAGAGAGTAGGAGACACTGCATGGGGTAACTTGCCATCCTCATAGAGGTAGCTTGCATGGGTTCTCTGAGCTCCCACTGCTAAACTACATTTGGAAAAAAACATGCAGAGATGTTTTCATTTTTGTTTGTTTGTTTGTTTTTCTGTTTCTACTGTAATTTAAGCTAGAAGCAAATCCTCAAAAGAAGACTGATACACCAAGCAAAACCAGTGAAGCTCAAAGACTGCACAAATTGCAAAGAGGTGTGAATAAGTCTTGTTATGTCTTTTTGGGCATCAAAATATCCCTAGCGCTGTGTTTCCAAGCTCACATTTTAAAACGTGCTACACCCTTTTCCCACCTCTATACCTTGTGCTTGTACTAGTCAATACACGAGCAGCTAAATAGGTTTGAGGCACAGCTTTGTGTAAACAGGCTTGTGTTACTTCTGCACTCCAGATTTTGCAAGCTTTGCAATGCTGTAATTCATTTCCAGAATATCACAGAATCACAGAATTGTCTAGGTTGGAAGAGACCTCAAGATCATGGCTCACTGGGTAAAATTTAGTTACACTAGTGAAAATATTGAATAAACTATATTCAAGCTAAAACTAATTACCACTTTAGAAATCCAAAGGTGATGAGCTTATCTGGATAAAAATAATATTTTTAAGAAAAAGTTATCAATCTGTATTTAACCAATAGATAGGAACTAGTTCAAAAAAAAGTCTTTCCAATCCATCAGGTAATGGATGCCTACTAAAAAACTATAAATAAGCATTCACCCGAGAGCTTGGAATGGTAATTTGAGAGCCTTCCTGGTCACTCAGGTAAATAATGAGTTTTATATAACCTTTCAGCAAATATTTTTTGTAAATGAGGAGATAAAATGCAGAAAAGCTTCTGATTATGTTAAGATTGGGGTACAAATCAACACACAAGTGAGAATTCAAAGTTAAAGCTGGCATTGTTGCTCACTCACATTGTTTCCTCTAAGGGTTCAATGTTAAAGACACTGTTGCCTTTACTCTGACTTGTTTGTGATGGCTTCAATTTAGGATTTTATTTATATATGGTGTTTAAATTGATGAGTATTTTGTATATTATCTGCTCACACAGAAGACATTAAAGTCAATAAGAATTGTAGAGATGGGCAGAATGTAGGCCTCCAACCAACATGCAGCCAGCAGTAAAAATGACCACTGTGGTCATCATAGCCCCCACGAAACCTGCAAGCACTATGTTTGCTCAAATCTGAAGAGGAAGGGGAAAAAGTAAAGAAAGCAAACAACAACAACAAAAATTTTCTGGTATCTCATCCTGTCAATATTAGCTACTCTCCAATAAAGTAACTTAACAAATATTTTGAGCTCTCTTGATGACTATGAAAAAATATACTGAAAGAGATCCATCAATTATCTTAAAATCAAATAACCTGGAAACCAGGATATATGGAAAAATTAAATCTAAGCCCTTTCCTGGGTAACAGTACAGTCCTCTCTAGAGAATTGCCCATCAGTTGTCCTCAACACCTAACACCCTAGGATGAGAAGAGAAAAATGGGTTTCACACCCTGAAGGTTAACCAACTTCATTTGTTATGTACTCAGAGAATTAAATTTGTACTACAGGCTCATGGATCTAAAAGGGAAACTTCTCCCAGCTATAACCACGGCAGTGTTTCACAATAATATAGACATCTGAAAAAGCTAAAATGCAAACCAAAAGGGGAAAAAATGTATAGTGTTTGTATTCAATAGAGATCTTTCCTGACCGTTGTGATTCTAAAGAAATATATCCTTCCAATTGTTCCATATTGTGTTAAAACATATTTTTTGCATTTATTAATAATTCAAACATGTTGTTGTTTAAAAAAATTATTCACATCATGTGTTCATAGTTTCCATATACATATGTCAAACTTTATTTTGTTTTACCATTATAATCTATGAATGGATTTACCCTTTGTTTCTGTTTTCAAATCTCTGAGGAATGTTTGATTAGGTAGGAGGGTTTGTTTTATGCATTACTTGTTCATCATTGCACAAGTGCGCAGGCTAAACAAAGTTGGCGTACTTCATACTGATTGGTGGAAACGGTGTAGTTAAACAGTGTAGTTAATACAAGGGAATGAGTAATTTCTCAGCACAGCTAATCAGCTGCACAATAGCTATTTATCAGACACTGCAGCTATATATCAAAAATGCATTTTAAGGTAGCTTGTAGCATACATGATTATCTAGTAGTATCTGTTACAGTCATTTCATATTAACTCACTTCTGTATTTATTTAATAAAAATAATTTTGTGTGCAGTGGTCTATATACATAACTGGGCAGAATAGCAGGAATTATGTGGTAAATGGCAAAAACGGGAATGTTCTAGCTGATATATAATGGAAAATATGTCCAGGGTGTTACAGTCTGACAGTGTCCGGTGCAAAGGAAAAGACAGAGCAACAAAGATGACAAGACAGCTACAACTTCACTGAAGAACTTAATTTCATGATTTTATATCTATCACTCTGTACATCTATAATGTACATCTATAAGAAATAACAAGATAAATACATTATAATATTATTTACCAGATGTCTTCTGCATTAATGTTTTTCCATCCCTTTTTGATGAGCTGTACTTTATTATGACTGTCATTCCTGAAGAACGTCTTTTTAATAGTTCAGCATCAACACAAGTTCAGAATGCTGTTCCTCCATTAGAAAACAAAGTTGGGTTCAGTAGGAGTTAACATTAACAATTCAAGAGCCTGTAGAAGAAATTAGAAACATGAGTCCTCTGTAATGATGATAAAATCAAACTGGCAAATAAATGTATTCTCAAATGTCATAGTAAGAAAATGGATGAATATATGCAACTAAAATGGTCTCTTAAATTTCAAGTGCTTGGCCAGGATTTTCAAGAACTTGCTCCTACACAGAAGAAGCTGACTTAGAAATCTATCAAGTAATCTCACTAGTGAATATCTGCACATGTAATGCAAACTTCATGAAGTCCACAATTTCACCCTACTAGACTAATCTAAAGCCCACTGGGATCTATTCCTCTGAATTTGATGAGTTCTGGATCAAGCCTTTTGAAGATAAGGAGTGAGCTGGAAACAAAATGATGCCATAAATCAGAATGAGTGGTACAGAATTAAGTAGTACAAAATATAGCTTTCAGTACTATATTATGTTAGGGTTATAAAATTAAAAAAAAAAACAACAACAACAACAAAAAAAACCTATTGATGTATAAATAGTAAGGAGAAGGAAATATAAATATTTGTCTTATTAAGGAATTAGTGAAGTTGCAGATCTTCACTTTCCTAAAAAAATATAGGCTCTATTTCTCTATTTTGATATCCATACTTAAGGAAACACTTTGGCTCTGATAAAGCCAAGTGGATAATTAAAAATTATAATATTAATTGTACCCTTAACACAGATAAGTAAACTTGGCAAGAAAGTTTTAATGAGTTAAAGTGAAAAGGCAATGTCTAAATTAACTGAATAAATTGGCAAAGAGAAATGTATTGTATATACTGACCCCTTTAACTTCTTTTAATGTCTGAATTTGAATTACATAGATTAATTTTCATTACATGATACATTAAATTATAAGGATAAAATAATTCCTCTCAGAATCTGCTTTCTAGGACAGGTAACAGTGCTTACAAATTCATTGTCCTGTACTATTTTATAATAGGGACTTGAAATCCGCAGATTCTCTAAAGATTCCTGAGGGAAGATACAGCTACTAGAATATCTTTAGAAAGTTAACATAAAAGACAGAAACATGATCTCATTGATCTTTGCTAAAAATGCTAACAGTATCACGAAATACTTTGGCCTTGGGAATCCTCAGTACTATTGAAGACATCAGCTCCTACAACACACATCCACCATGTGCCACCATCCAAAGGTGTGTGGAGGTCTACGTACAGCTGCACAAATACCCTTCAGATATACATGCATATATCAGCCACATAGGAGAAGCTGAAACGGTTGATCTGCTATCACCTGAAAACATGCTGCATGCTTATGAAAAGTGTTTGGTACACACCAAGAGAAAAAAACAAACAAACAAAAAAAAAAAACACTTTTGGTTAAAATAATTTACTGCCAGATTTTGACTGAAATAACTGTGATGTAAAAGCCAACATAGATGTACACCCCATAGGGAATCATCTGACTGTATCAGTTTTTAATGTATCCTTCTATACAGTCAAAGATCCAAATGCTAAATTTAGTGCTCAGGGAAATCAAGGGAATTTGTGAAATTTCTCAGAGGGCTTAGTGTCCATAAACTAATGACTGGATAAAACTGATCTCAATATTTAGTTTCACATTTGGGATAAATACAATATTGATGATATTTTATTAACTGTTTCACAACACCATACATGTGAAAAATTAACGAAGTAGAAACTGCTCACCCAGAAATACACTTCAACAAATATTGGGATTATGTGTATTATATATATACGGTATATATATACATACATAATATACATGTATATATAATGAGATAGATATATATAATTAAGACACAGGCATTGCAGAAGACCATTATATATCATGATTTAGAAGTTCAGATCTTTCAGCTCCTACTAATTACCGTCAAGCACCAAGAAGTTCTGAGCCAGAACCAACTGAAAACAATGGAAAGATTTCCATTGGTTTTAATAAGCAATGAATCAAATCCATAAAAATGAACCAAGCTAGTAAATGTGCTGTTGCTCAGAGTTGCTTCTAAATAAATATATAAATGGCTGCTCTCTCACCCAAGGACATGGCATTCCTCCTTCCTTCATACCCCATGGAGAAAGACCAGCTCATGCCCACCAGCAAGCCCTCATAATGCCACAGTAGAGATCAAATTCCTATTTGGAAGGAGGAGAAAAAAAAAACAAAAAACTTTTTTTTTTTCTGTTTGTTTTTTTTACAGGTCCCTCATCCATTGGTGGTCTGACAAAAAGGACAGGGACATTTCAGATTCATAATGTGAAGGTGAATTATCCACCTGCATTATGGGGTGTGTAGGGTGCTGCCATGGGGAGACACTGGGAATCATGGCAAATAAGAAAGAAGTGTTACCTCAAGCACAACCAAACTGTAAAGGGGAGCAGGCAGACTGGGGAGCTTTCTGCTGTTCAGTCAATATACCGTGAAGTATCAAAAATCTCTTTTGCATGCTTTATTCCACCTCCCTTTTGAAAAGACACAGAATTATAACCAAGAAGCTAATAACTTGCTACAAATGGTGGTATTTGTTGAGGCATGCAGTTTCCAAATGGGAATTTGGACTTGTTTTTATTCTCCACTTAACACTTCCCCAGCCCAGCACAGACATTGGCTCTGGTGGTGTTCCCACAAAGACAACACAGGGAAAGCACATGGCCTAATAACTCTAACAGGCCCATGGCTTCTAACAATGCAATTGCAGTGGAATTTTCCCTAAACAAAGACTAAAGACAGAAGTGTCCATTGCAGTTAGCAGCAATTAATGTCTTCTCAGACTGCTACATGCCTTAACCACAGCCAGAGGGATGGTGCCTAGCAGAGGGAGAGGGACACCTGCATGCAACAGTGACCAGCCTTCCCGGCAGGATCCTCAACAAGGGCATTGCTAACAACAGGCACACAGCAATGCAGCGGGAGTGCAGGGTTCCCTACAAGCCGGGTTTGGACTCACTGCCTCCCAAAAAAGCTCACACAGCACAGCCCAAGCAGCGGGAGGGAAGCACTAAGGAAAACACACAATAATTTAATCTATTAGAAATATTCCCACTTGTCCTGTTATGACCCGCATAGGAAAGCTCTGGACAATGCATGTCTCGCACCCATGGAAGGGTGGTGGTGTAAGTGGTTTAGCGTGGTGCTTCCCTGAGCCACCCCGCCACACTAGGCAGGCATGTCCCCAGGCTGCCACCAGCCAGCCAGACTCCTGCGGCCCAGGGCTGCCACACTGGGGAGGCGGGGAGGGGCTTTCTCTTTCTTCTGTGCCTGCACGCCATCCCTTGTCTCCCTCCTTCCCCAGAGAAGGATGACCACCATGGCACTATGGTGCCCGCTAGCCACAGCTGTTATCAAAAGTGCAGACTGCGCTGACTGCACTGCTCAATAGGTCATTACCAAAATGTTAATAAATACGGTGGAAAGAGATACAGAGAAGGGGTGTGGGTCTTTTGTAATATAAATGAATAGTTTTCAAAATGTAGAAGAACTAAAGCACATTTTCACTTTGTGCTTTATGACACCTACAATATCTTGGCTCAACGAATTAAGATTGACATTAAAAAGAGGCCTATTTCTCCTGTCAGCACAGGCCCAGGGCATCTATCACTCACTGCTGGTGAGCACAGTGCACATATTGAGGGGAGGAGAGACCCTTAATATAAATTTTGAATATAAATATAAACATAGTTTGAATATAAACCTTGTCTACAGATAAGCTGGGGAAACACAAGGAGCCATATACTATTAAAGTCACAATCACCATTTCCAAAGCCACAAATCGAGTGTATTTGCTCTTTGCATCTGAGCTAAGTTGTAGTAGTAAGCCATAAGGAGAGAATAAAAAGTGCAAGAGAAAAAAGATGCCTTTTCCAAACTTAGTGTATCATCACAAATCTCTTAACTCCATGTAAGAGGCAACCTAAGGGTATCAAGTTTAAAAAGCACGGAATCAATAAAAAGTCATTAAAAATCAATGTATGAACTGGTTTGCATGCCCTCAGCCATCACTTCTAGGCACTAATGCTCTAATAATTCTAAATTGATATGCACAGAATATGCCAATTTAAATTTATTGAAGTACTTCAAATTTTTAAGTGCTTAACTTTGGAAAAAATTGGCTTTATGGGGCCAAAGCCATGAAGAATGATCAGAAATGTTTAGAATGCCTTACATTTTCAGTAATTTGAAAGAGATTAAAGGAGTAGACTTATGAAATTAAGAATGATTTAAAAATCATTGGATCACTTCAAATTGCTAGAAATGCTTGAATCACAAATAATATTGGTAGTTAGTACATGTGCAATGAAAGGGCTCTGTTCTTACATCAATGTCCAAATGAAATCACCAATAGCATTAGGCAGCTACATGCGTATACCAAAGAGAAAGTGAACCACTTGCATGTGCACAAAACATGTAGGGGTTTCAAGTGCAAGACAGGTTCTTGCTACCAAGAATCCCCCAAGTCTTTCCAGATTAAATTAATTTCAAAATCTAATATGATTTGAAATCGACTCTCTAGTTAGAAATTCAAGTTGATATTAGTTCTACTTCTGGTAGACAATGAAGCGTTTTGCAGAAGACTTCTGTGCGAGCACCTGGAAATATGCAGAAACCCATACAGAAGGGAAAGCCATGGCAAGCATGCCCACACACAGAGCTGGCAAAGTCGGACACCACAGGGTGTCCTGACCCCTAGGTCAACACCCTGACCACACTCCTGCTGATGTGGGAATTTTGCCTATGGTTTTGGAAATCTCCAACTTCTGTAGATGCTCAGACAAGCTGCCATATGCCAAAGCCCAGACAGGGAAGGTTTCTGAGCACAGTGCCTCCTGCGCTTCTTAAAAACAAATGCATGGCTGCGTTTCTCTTTCTTCACAGTCACTCCTGGAAAATATACCTAGAGGGGAAAATGTAAGAAGTGATATTAACAGCTCAGTACGTCCAAGATAAAAGCTGGAGAAACCAAGGTATTAAAAGGGGTTAAGGTAAAATAATAAACTGTTATTAAGCCCATTAACAGTTTTAAACCATCATTGTTTATGGCACGATAGAGCTTGGCTTTTTACAGGTGTTTCATTTGTACATTTTCCTTATTCCACTGCTATTTAACTATTCCATGAATCTCTGCTTTAAGCCCCCTCAGTAATACAGTGATTGAATCAGCATCTGCTAACCCTTCTTATAAAATAGCATCACAACCAAACAGAGGTTAACATTTCATAACTTTAAACAGCAAGAGTAAAGGCTAACATTTTATGAGGGCCCTCAAAAATATTACCCCTTTTATTAAGTATAAAACACACAGAATTAATCTCAGGTCTTCATTCACTATATGCTCAGAAGAGGAAAGGCAGGCTAACAAATGCTCTCCTCTCTGCCCGAGCGTCCGGGAGCTGCATGCCCCCTTGGGACCACGGCAGTGCCATGCCCCAGTGCGGGCAGCAGCCCGTCCCTCTCAGCGCTAAGCAGCATGGACCCAGAGCCCGTTCGTGCATTCGGGGTCAAGCGCTGTGCTGAATGAGCAAGGCAAGATGAAGAAATCTTTCATTAATGTTACTGAAATGCTGGCAGAAGCCAACAGTCAACATTTCATGGAATTTGGTTTATAATTTAACTTCCTTCACAACATTACTACTTACTGATACTTCTCTGCAATCCTTCTTCTACATAGTATCTTGCACCTGCTAAATCTTAGCCCAGGAAAGAAGGGAAAAAAAAAAAAAAAAAAGAAAAAAAAAAAAACACTTTTATCCGGTGAGACACTTTATCAAGAAAATTCTACAAGAAATTGGTTGTTACCTACAGATAACAACTGGTTTGTCAGTTAATGGCTAGAGGCAAAGCCAAGGCCAGTTAATGCTCCAGCTGTCCAGTCATTAACTGCAGTAAAGACTGATTTTGAGGAGGTTATTGCTGTGATAAAATATCCTCAAAAGATTATAACAGCAATAGTGTACAGAAAAAAAAAAAAAAAAAAAAAAAAAAAAAAGTATTAGTGGCTATAGTGTGACTGAATGGCTGCATTTGAAAAATTGGTCATTCCCTGGCGGTTCATAACCAATTTTCCACCAGTCAAAAAGCAAGTTGTGCTCTGTTAGGTTTATTGTACAAGGCAATAAAAATATTGGCCAGGTTAAATTGTCAGTGTGTTATGACATTAACCATTCTTTTACTGTGCTTAATTTAAGTGTTACTATGATTCATTATGGAAAGAAACTGTCCAAGTAAACAGGCATTTGAGCACTGAGAACAGATAGCCGTAATAAATCTGAGTGCAAAATTAAAATTCATTTGATGGCTTCCCCTCCATTCATAATGATTACATTTTTCATTTTTTCCTTTTTTTTTTTTTTTTTTTTTTTTCTTTCTAGAAATACTTCAGAATTCTTGGATACTTAATTGCAAGATTATCTTCTAAAGTTTGCATTATTGATGTGATGCCTGGCAGCAGTACTCTAGTTAAAAGTGTGACAGCATTTCCATTAAGAAACCTTTCTGATGGTTAACTTGGCCATCAGAAGTCACCTTGTGCTTCATTTGGCACACAAATTCCCAGTCACACTGCAGAGCCGGACCATGGGAGCTGTTCCTCTCTTGTACTCTGTTGGGTAAGGGCAGAACTGCACACACAAAATGTGTGCACACAATTTTTGTGCTTGTGATTCTACAAATCTGGACCCGTTTGTATTAAATTACAGGAAAATATGCAAAGTCCTGCAGATTCCTGTGTTAATTTGCATGCTTTTATCATAAAGGCTATCGTAGTAATCATAGTATGCCATCATAGTAATCTTAATATACATTGATAGACTACACCATAACCACTCCAAAAAGCCATTAGGGTTTATTTATAAACATATAATAAGAATTCTAGGCAGATTCAGTACTGCACAATTCAATATTTTTTTATTATTATTATTATTCACTGACACCTGTAACAGGAGTGGAGCCATTGAACCTTACATGGCTAAAGTACCAGACTAAGGTTTTGAACAGAACCTGGAGCAGTTAGGCTGACAATTTTCAATGAAATTTAACGGTTACCTAATTGCCAGGCATTGCTCTGAAGATTCCTATCTAAATGATCCAACGAGCACCTTTTACTGTGATCTACCGACATCACTGGCATCCTGGCTCCAGGAAAACAACACTATTTAAGCTCTCCAGGGATTTGCTGTAGTTTCAATTTCACTCTCACTGCAAGAACACCTAACTGCTACGACAGTGAGCCCTGTCCACTGCAGTGAGGAGTTTTACAGGCACAGACAATGATGGTACAATCCATCCTGCTGTACCGAGGCTTCACAGGGGGGCTACAAGCAGTCCCTTACCACATGGACCCTGTACACTGCAAAGTTAAATCCCAGCATCTTCCACAGCTAAGGCTACCTTCAATTTTCTGGTCACTCTTACGGGACTGGTAATGTTAAACACTTTTTTTTTTTTTTTTAATATTATCATCCTCAGGAGAGCGGGACTCGTTAGCTTTTTTGCTGCACTGAACAATTACATTACATGATTATGTCCAGACTGTTAAAGGCAGTGTCAGAGCAGCCTCCAACAGCCATCACATGCAGCCTTCACAAGAACCTGCTGCACACCCTACTGACATGTGCCCATGCATCAATTGACAAAAACAGGAAACCTTAACTTGACAAAGACTCTACGTTCAGGTACCAGCAGACCATGATTTCTGAAAGCCAAGATCTGGAATCAGTGAAGCTCACTTCACAATGATGAAATATTTGTCAGATTGTATGTGATGACTCAATGATACAGCACTAAATGGTAGTATATAAAAGCTTCTGTATATGCATCCACAAACACACAAATACATCCATATATATAATACATGTGTCTGTATATACACATATATGGAAGTGCAGGTACATATATATAAAACATACACACATAATGTATAAGATACATGCAAATGCACATACATAGGTATGTGCATTCATGAGTAAACAGAGATCTCAAAGTACTGAGCAGCTGCCTGTGCCCAGGAGCCCTTTAGGCACACACCAGCAATGCCACTTTAATCACGGGAACACTTTTGCATGGAGGGTAAAGTGGCTTGTCCAACGCCATTCAGCAAATGAAAGAATAAGCCAGGAACAGCTCATTTGAGCTGCAGTTCAGTCTTCTGGCCTGGTCACAGACTAACCCATATAATGTCACCCTGTGCTGCCAACCACATCCTCTCCTTAAAGTGCAGCCAGTAACAGCTCAGCTCCGTTATAAGCCATGCTACTGTGCATAATCAGACACAGTCTATGAATGAAATGTGTGTCTTATAATTAGGTCCACACAAATGCTGAAACTTCAAAATACAGTTTAGAAGGGTTTCCAGTACATCTGATGCCACAGGCATCACAGCTCTGCTTCTGGATATACCAGCTGCCGCTCCAAGGCTTAGGCCAACTGTTGCTGCCAAAGGATACTCAGATGATGTGCAGAACTGGAACATGGAGAAAAGAGTTATTCGTCATCTTTGATGTTGATACTTCAAGGGAAGTGCAGGATCCTCTCCCAGCAACCAGCATGCTCAGACATCCTCCCTACCTTGATGTTTGGCCTGCTATTGCTATGGCTTGGTTTGATTTTAGGCATCGGTTGTCTGTAAAAGGGTTAGAAATGTGGCACACTAAATCACTACCCACAATGAGTAGTGCACAAGTATCTTTATGTGTCTGTTCTCTATCGGATTCCAACCCTTTCCAGATGAAGTTATAAATGGATTATTTGATTTCATTTTTTTTTCTTTATAATCTTAAAAAGTCTTAAGAGTAAGTGATTCCAGAGGGCTTCCATATGATTTGCCATGATTTCAGAGCTGACAGTATACAGGCGCTGCTAGTGTGAAGGGCAGAAGCCTTCAGGAAAAGGACCATCGTGTTCAATATTGCAAGGAACATAGATTTTTATACAAAGACACTAAGATCAGCTCTTATGTTACCAAAAGGTGCAGGAGGAATACTTACATAGAAGATCAAAATCAGCTTGGTTTAAATACTGGAATTTCAACCATGTTTTAAGTAATTTTGGAATGGTTAGGGGAAGGAGGGAACAGGCTCCCTCTCAAACTCCTTGTAGTCCATCCTGATGTGTTTTGTTACCATGTCCAGAACAGATGAAGTTTTGGCCCTTATAACGACACTTGAGATTCTCCAGATTCTTCCATAAAAGACTCAGGCATTTCTGCTGCAGCCACTTCTCTCTCTCTCTCTCTGTGCTGGACAAGCTGCAGGGTGGTAGCCCTGGTGGCACTGGTTAGTGATTTCTGGCAATAGTCATTTTGTTTCTGGGCTAGGAATTCCTGTATTCCCTGAGAACAAGACACAGAGCACTCACCATTTCCAAATGAGGACAGCAACAGTGCTGTTCCCTGTATCTGCTCAATTCAAGCAATTTCTCTAAGCTGCCCATCAATAAAGACTTGCTTTTTGTCAAAATACTTTGTGAAATCTATATTAGACAAAGTCTTGCAGTCCTTTTCTACTGTCAAGAGAAAGGAATAGTCAGGCTCATAGTCAAAATCACCTTCAGCCAAACCCCCACTGTCAGACAAGTGCATCATCGTGGATTTTGGATTGATGAACTACTGTATTTTAGCTTTTCTGCCAAAGCAACATGGGTCTCATCAGCAGGAAAGAGAATAGAGCGAGACAAAGATGAGAGGCAGCACAACACACTACACCTATGCAAGGGCTGCCAACAGGAAAAAAGGGCACTCTCTGGAAGGGCAAAGACACAGATGTATTCGAAGGACAGACAAAGACGCACAGAAGAAGAGGATGGAGGTGGTGCTTGGAAGGCATGTTAACAGGGGATGCTTCTGGAGTTTCTTGGGGAGAGAAAATGCCAGCAAAGACTGCAAAAAATGGGCAAGTTTTATCACGCAACCATTGAGGTGGCAAAAAACAACTTCACCATTTTTCTAGCACATGGTACAGAAACAGCTGAAACAACATGATACATGACCCCGCCAGAGGACAGTGGCCTTTGGAGGAACACTCATGCAGCAGCTCCTGCATCTGTGCGCCTTTCCCATTTTTTGACAAGTACCCATATTCTCTGAGCTATAATACTTGTGATCATGACCTCATACAATGACTTCCTGAGACTCCAGTCTGTAGCTCTCCAACTCCCTGGCTTCCTTTCCACCCCACCAATATATCTGGCGGCAGCATCCCCCACCTTGGGTCTGTTCCTGAAATGCCCTGCTCATGCCCTGTCACCACCGTGACGCCTCCACCAGCTATGCTGGTGCTGGCCGCTGGCCTCGTGCTTCTTACCCATGCACTTGTGTCCCTTCACATCCAGCAGTACAGCAAAAGGATAAAAGAAGAATGCAGATACTGGCTTAAAAACATGTATTTTTCTTTCTCTTTCAGGTTTAGAGGAATTTATCTTTTGTATATGCTGTGCTCTTACATGCATGCACACACTATATGCACACACACAATATATAAATATATATCTGTCGGGGGAGAGAGGTTTAAGACTAAGAACTTATTTTAACTTCAAACTTGTTTGGTTTAAGACGTAAAGAGTTTAAGCCAGATTTATTTTGGGTGACAAGTATTTCTTACATCTAAGGCATAAATATTTTCTCCTATTTTAACAACATCTCTTCCCTTTGATTTTCTCACACATGTTGTATTTAACTAATAGAGTACAAATACCAAAACAATGGAATATCCAGGATTAACTCAGCAAATGCCATTAGATTTTGTGCAGGCATAGTATAGAAATGGCACAAAAAAAACCTACTTTGGATTCTTAAGGATCATTTCCAGTGATTCATTTTCAAAAACGAAGGGATTTTTAATACTTGAAAAATTCAATATATTTCATGGAGTCATTACATTTTGTACAGTTCTGAAATAATGCCAATTTTGCAACTTAATTTGTTAAAATGATAATAAACGAGAAGGCTGTCACTAGACAGAGAAAAACTAGCTCTTTTTTCTGTTATCTGTTTTGCTGTAAGGTTAATTCTTTATATTTTATATTTAAATTAATTCAGATTTCTTTCATAATAGGGGGCTTACTATATTATGGAATTAGTAAAGAACTGGGCGAAAAAGGCAGGAAGAGAATGGGGGGGAAGGGTAGGAAGAGATCAATTAAATAATTTTTTTGTCAAAAATCAGATATGCACATATTTTAGTTTGGAGAGCATATGCTGCTCTTGATATGGATCCAAAACCGAGGCAGTGCATTGAACAAAATAAAACCAGCTTTGTAATTATTAGCGGAGACATATTCGTGAGGGCCATTTCCTGTAGAAAATGCCACTTTTATTTTCTTTCCTGTATCCTACTAGAATCCCCATAGCAAAGAAGAAAAGGAAGAGACAAAGTTACAGCTTGCATTTAAGTAGTAAGCCACGACCGACACCACGTTTTTTGCCAATTACCTTGGAAAGTCCTAGAGGGCACGTGGCCAGCCAGACCGGCTAGAGGTCTTCTCCCTTTGTATTGGCCACGTTCAGAAGTATCAAGGGAAGTGTGAAAGAAATCAAAATTTACCAGTGGACACAATCTATAACCGCTTTTTGTCCTGGATCAAAACAAAGAAATCTGAATGAATTATGAAGGTATCAGGGACAGCAAACACCATCAGTGATGTGCAGACACATTGTTTCCCACACTGGACTACAAAAACATTCAAGCTCTGTTAGCAAATAGATGCTTTAACATAGATGTTTTAAAGTGCAGGAATGAACAAAGTACAGGGTATCAGAGAGGAATAAAACTTGCGCTATTTCCATGTAAAGACATAGAGAATACATTTGGGGGATTGTCATAGAGGAAAGCTGATGGTTCTACCCTGATTTGTTGAGCACTGTTGGTCTTCTCACTTTTGGGGATCTTTTTGTGCTGGAGTTAAAAAGGAGACACAACTAGCTTAGCAGAAAATCAAAAGAATATCAGTTACTTGGGTAACTATTTGTAGGGTAGGGATGGGAGAAAAAAGCAACAAGAAAGTCAGTATTCACTAGAATAAGAATAAAGTTGATAGGCAAACCAGGGACAGACACCAATTCTTGGTGATTAAAAGACCAAATTACATTTTGGAGACTGCAAATATGTGCTTGTATCAGCATCTGGAAAACCATTTTCCAGCTCTTAATACTCATCATTCAACTGCTTTTTTAATTTTTCAAACCTCTATGAACAGAAATGTACAAGTTTACCTATAGCCAGCTAATAGAAATAATGTTTTCAGCAATATTGTCACAGTGAATTTAAATGCAGTAAAAAGCATATATTCTTTCTACTTATCATGTTATACTGTTTGTTACCATTTGATTCTCTTGCTGTCCTATTTCTCTTTAAGGTGGAGAGATCAAGACTTCTCATAAAAAGTCAGATGATCGTTGGTTGTTCCTTTATAGGGGCACATAAACTCTGGATACTGCAGAGAGTTAGCAGGAACATTAAGAAATAACGGCACCAGACTTCTATGCTAAGATGTTTGATCCCTCCTCTTCCCCATACCACTGTCATAATATCTGTGATACCTGCACCTAATAGATGCCACAGGAGTTGCCAGAGTGCCATCAATGTGGTCCTCATCCCCTCAATGGTTTGCAAAATGCAGGAAATGATTTGCCAAGGAGAAGAGCCAGGGATAACTCTTCCATACGACCTCCAGGTTAGCAATTCAACCTCCCCTCCCATCAGGGTAAGCAGGTGTACTCACCTTTTCAGGTGCATAAAACCACAGTCATTGTGAAGTCTCCCTCACTGAAGATCTTCAAAAGCCTCCTGGGCAACCTACTCTGGGTGTCCCTGCTTGGGCAGGTGGGTTGGAACAGATGGCCTCCAGAAGTCCCTGCCAACCTCAGCCAATGAGTGATTCTGTGATACATTCACCTCATACATCTTGGCTCCAATGAGTAAAAAAGATCCAAACACCCAGAAGAGCCATAAGCATTTCTTTCTTCATGATGGCTTGATCCACAGGGCTCTGCAGAGCCCAGAAGGATCCCTGCTAAGTCTGAGATTATATTTATGTCAGTACAAGAGAGCTCCTTCACTGATGAAAATTCTCTAAAGGAATCAAAATCAGAAAACAACACTTTTGCTGCATTCAGCTTTCCTCAGAAATTGGGAAAACAGCTCTTAAAAATGTAAAGATTTTTAAATTGCCATCAGACCATTTTTATACTTCCTAAACTGCAATTTAATATTATTTACATTATGGAAAAACCTTACAGCCCCTGTAGGCTCAGGGGCACACTGCATTAGCCATGGTACAAATACATACAAAGACATCACCTCTGCCCTATAGAACTTTTATCAGCCCCTAATTAACCTCTTCCTGATCCTTGAAGCCAGAATAATCAATTGGTCTATATTCTGAGTTTAAATCCATTCAGGTGGGGGAGGAGGAGGACCTACAGAAAAATTATAAAAAATATGACTTCTAAATTACCTTCTACGTGAGACAGCACTCAAACAATACTAGGTCTGCCAAATCACTCCTGCTCTAAATAACCAACTCTCCTTGTACAGCATCTGCTGTTTGAAAGGGCTTTCATTTGTTTTTACTATTATGAATAGTTAAGAATTCAGTATCACATGAATGGGAAGCTTCTAGAAAACTTAAATGTGTTTCATTGTGACTTGATGAATGGCTTACTGTTGCATTGTTATAAAATATACTAATATACTACAAAAATCTAACTTTATTGTGATTAACCCCCATGCACAGGGTTGAACAGAAATATTCTCCACCCCGAAGAAAATGTCTATTGACATACTGGCTCAAATAGCTCAGATTTTCAAAAGGCCCATTGACTCTCAGTGTAAATTCAACTCTTAACTAACCTTAGGCACATTTGAACATCAAAATTCCAAACTCATCTCTGTACAAACAGTGTATCTAAATCCAAATTGAATTGGTAGAACTCCCTATAGCAGTTTAACCCATAGCGCCTTCTTCTACTCTACGTTATAATCTAAGGATTGCTTTTGTTTGAGGAAAGGAGGCAAGAAAACACTCCTTACGAGCACTCTCAGCGGTTCGGCAGGAGGACAGAGCCAGCTGCATGCATTGCAGGATGAGTACTTTGGAAGCTTAGCACAGGAGAAATAGGATGACATTAAGGGCAGTGACTGGGTAAGTATAAGAGCAGGTATGAAAAGAGAGAGGTGGTGTAATTAAGGGATGAAGTGAAGTAGCGGTGCCCAATGGATTTTAGATAATAGATGTCATTAAGGGTGATTCAGAAGATTGAATTGTACAACACAAATCAGTGTCGAAGCTGTGGAACAAACCAAGTAGAGAGAAGCATCACTTCTCTACTTATGGTAGAGAAGTGTTGGTGTGCTTTGTGCACTGCCATCTCTAAAAGGGACTGAGCTAACAAGAGAGATGATTAGTTTTCTAGGGGCAGAGGTTAAGGATGTTAGTGAGAGGGTTGATATGTTATAGTCAAGAGAACTGGGAATGAATCCTGTATTTGTGCATGTGGAAATTAAATGATAACAGAAATGCAGGGAGAGATATTTCAAAAGAGGTTGGGACTTGAAAGGAGAGAGAAAACTACATTTTTGGTACTGTACTCATTCTTTATAAAATTTCTTAAGTAAATCTTGGCAAACTTGCCCGCACAAATGGCTTTTTGGGTGGCACCATTTTCAAACGTTAGATTAAGGCAGTGAAATCTAACTGGCTACAGCTTTGACTTGCAGCAGAATATTACAGATAAAGCAGGGGGACACCAGGACAGACAGCACAGTATGTGATTTTGAGGCCAATCTCATCTAATAGAACACCTCTGTACCCCAGGATAAACAAAACGGTTTATGAGCAGCGTATCAGGCATCAGCAGGGAAGTTGGTGGCAGCCCATGACTGCTATCACGTGCTCAGCAATGTGTGTTATGGACATCAACATAATTTATAAGAGCAAGGTAATTGTTGGCTAGAAAACTGCAATAATCACCTTCTTTTTCTGAGAAGATTTCATTGTCTCCAGCATCTGTTGTCTGAGAACGGAGCCAAAGCTTCCACTTGGCTCTCATACTTCTTGAATTCACAATGCCTTCACGCAGCCACTGAAGTTACTGGGCCTCTGAAAGTAGCGGAGCAGGTACAGATGCTGAACACCTCCCACTCCACTACGCGTGCTGGTCTTCTACTGCCGCTGTCCTTTAAAGCGTGCCTGCAGCAGAAATGTGGCTACCAGCTGTGCAGCTGCTGCCCAGGACCAGCACTTCCCAGTACTAGCAGCAGCTCCTGGAACAGGACTAAGGGACATGGAAGAGAAGAAAGAGTTTTTGTATTGCCTCAGCCATAAGGTATGCCTCAAAGATAGCTGAAAAAAGACAGAATGTCCTATCATAAGCAGTACAGTGAATCAAAGAAATTTAAAACATTTTAAATTAGTTGATGGGCCAACTTGTTAATCCGTATACCAAACGAAACCTGGCTTAGATTATCATCCTCTTCTCTCTCACATATTCTCAAGGGAAAGCCACCGAGACGAAAGTACAAATTGTCCACTTGCTTCGCTTGTGAATCTCTTTGCCAGCCAAATTGAAATGCTGGGGAAGAAACAAATTGGTCCTCTGCTGTAACTACATAGCCTGTACAGGAACTACATACACAACCATGGAATAGGAAGGAAAGAGAAGGCTTGAGAAAAGCCAAAAGTCAGCATTTAAAAAACCATGAATTCATCATTTACCAAAGGATAGAAAATTGGGAAAAAGGTAGCACAGTTGGAAAATGCAATTTTGAAACTGCTGAGAGAAATAACATGGTACAAAAGCAGGCAAAAAAGCAAAGACAATGAAAAGTAATAAAAGCTTTAAATCTTGCTTTGATCTCCAATGCAGGCTAAAGATGCTGTGGAACAAAATAAAAGGGTTCTAGAGGAGAAAAAAAAAAAAAAGTCAAGAATAGCTTTCTAGGATAAAGTTATACCAGGGTGCA